GAGAGAGAGAGAGAGAGAGAGAGAGAGAGAGAGAGAGAGAGAGAGAGAGAGAGACGATGATGGCTACAATAAAATTACCGACAGCGTCGGCATTCACAAATCCCATTTCCATAATCCCTTTCACAAATCCCATTTCCATAATCCCTCCCTTGTTTGACTAAATGAGGTCGAGAATGCATGAATTTCTGATGGGAGTTTTAGAGATGTGCAAAGATAGACAACTTACCGGAGTGACTGCAGGTTGTCCTATCTTTACGGCTGTACCACCTTTTGAAGTCAACTGTTCTAGCTGTTGTTTGAGTGTCTCGTTCTCAGCTCTCAGGGCCTGGCTGTTGGTTTCTAAATGCGTCAAGTTCCTTTGCAAGTCCTGGTTCTCAGACTCCAGATCTTTCATGTTCAATGCCTGCTGCCTCAAAATCCGATTCTCCGATTGTAAATTCTCTTTCTCCGATTGCAGGCTCTGGTTCTCTGATATCAAATTTTGAACTTGCTCCTCCGATCTGCAAAATGTGTATGATACAGGAGAACAGATCATACACCTCAGAGCGGTTATTGGAAAGAGCAGGTGCGACACTTCTTCCACCATATGGTCAGCTAGACCAGTGATGCCTTGGCTTGTTCAGAGTCTTCAGACACACCAACCAATCAGATTAGGACATGAGGCACACCACAGAGGTTCCTTGAAAGAAAAACAGAGACGATGATCATCAGGAACAACCATTCAACAATGCGTCCGAAGACACACACATTAATCAAGACTTCCGACGGGCATGCACAAGCTGCAACAAGGACAAGGAACAACCATGGAGACACCGATTCTCGCCAATGGGAGTCTAAGAGAAAGAGAAAGAGAAACAGAGAGACCAAGAGAGAGAGAGAGAGAGAGAGAGAGAGAGAGAGAGAGAGAGAGAGAGAGAGAGAGAGAGAGAGAGAGAGAGAGAGAGAGACAGGAAGAGAGAGAGAAACAGAAAGAGACAGAGAGAGAAAATGAGAGAAAGAAAAACAGAGAGAGCGAGACAAAGAGAGAGAGAAAGAGACAGATACAAACGGACACAAACACCTGTTTTCCACTTTCCGAAACATTGTGGATATGCTGGTCGTTCCCTCTCCTCTCCTCCCCCCCTTTCTTCCTCATCGCCGCAGCGTCGCTGTGGCGGGTCCACTTGTATGAATAAAAACTCTAGTATAAAATGTCTCCAAAAAAAAAAAGAGGATAAAATCCATTCAGGATGCACAGTCTATCATGCGCATCAATCCGCTCAAACAACAATCCCTAGGCTACTCTATAGTCCGAAACTTCGTGAGGCGTTGTCTGCACCTTATCTATCAACTTACTACAGACAGGATCACTAGCATAGGTGATCCTAATCTTATTTTGCAGATCGGCGCCAGCATCAAGATAAGTCACCATAGCACCAAATAAATCTGCTCGCCTACTCAAAGCATCAACGGTGACATTACACTTCCCCTTTACTGGTTTTAACGCAAAGTCAAATTGGTCAATCTCACCAGCCCACCTAGTCAACTTAGGCGACATCTGGGCTTGAGTCTTCAACCAACGAAGTGTCTCATGGTCAGAGTAGACTTTGAAGTGTCGTCCTAGGAGATAATGTCACTAGTGATGCAATACCTCCCGACGAGCAAATAACTCTCGTTCATACTTTGAGGCTGCGACTCACTCATTTGGCAGTCTACAAGACTTAAACTTTATGGGTCTATACCCCTCACCATCATTTTGTTGGAGTACAACACCAATCCTGTTTTGGCTTGCGTTAGTCGTCACTATAAATGGCAAGGATGGGTCACCTATCTTAAGGGCCGGATACTCAATCATCCACTTCTTCAATCTCTTGAAGGATGAGGTACAATCTTTGTCTCATTTCCATACTGTTTCCTTCCTCAACAACCTACGCAATGGTCCAACGATAACAATGAAGTATCGTACGAACTTCCGATAATAGTTAGCTAGACCTAGGAACAAGCGCAGTTCCATCAATGTGTGCGGAGTCAACCAATCTCTAATTGCTGCTATCTTTGCATTTTCTAGTCTAATCCCATCTCCATCTAGTACATCTCCCAAATACAATACCCGACGCTTGACCCACTCACACTTCTTCGGGTTGAACTTGAAATTTGTGTCATGCAACTTTCCTAAAGCTAGGCGAAGATGCTAATAATGTTCTTCCAGCGTCTTGTTGAATATCAAAAGATCATTTAAATAAAGAACTACGAATTTGTCTAACCACTCACGGTAGAGATCGTACATACAAGGTTGGAAGGTTGCAAGGGCATTCGTCAGTCCAAACCGCATTACCACAAACTCGTAGTGGTCGTATCGCGTCCTAAAGGCCGTTTTGTGCTGATCTTCAAGTTGTACCTCTATCTGATGGTACCCCGACCTCATATCTATCTTAGAAAAGTACTTGCAACCCTTTATCCTATCCAATGGCAACGGCTCGACGTTATTCATTGTGATTGCATTCGGCCCCCTATAGTCTATAGACATGCTTAAGTCGCCTTCTTTCTTTGATACAAATAGGACCGGTGCGCCATACGACGACGAGCTTGGCTTAATCCACCCTCTCTATGAGTTCATCAAGCTGCTTGCACAACTCGTCAAGTTCTTTGGGAGACATTCGATAGATGGGGCCCTTTGGAGTCTTACTATCAGGTTCTATCTCAATCCGGTGTTTTTATTTCGCACTCCACTACGCCAATTGGGGCCTCTCCCACATCAGCAAACTCGTCCAATAATTTCTGCACTTCGGGTGGTGTTGCCTTCTCTTTCTTGCCCTCCCTAACCGGTCTAACGTAAGCAACGAAGACTTGGTCAACTAACTCATTTTTGTCCATGTTCCTCGCGAGCGCAGCGACAATCATACAACAGTGGGATAAGTTGTTCTCTACGTCGGACACATGAAACAACCACATTTTCTCTTTCCCACTTGTAGGACTGGGCAATCAACACTCGTGCTCGCCCATCATCATGTCCGCGTAAGCAGCGTTACCCCAGTCTGTCCCAAGAATTAAGTCGAAGGGAAGGCTATCCTCCACTAAGAGTGTTAAAGAATGTAAAACTCTCTCTACCTTTGTCCATGTCTCCAACCGGAAGTATGCGTTTACCTTCTCAACATACTCGCTTACGATCATCTCGTGGTTATGGACCAGCTTACTAACTACTAGCTCATCCAACTCCTTAATTTCATGTCGAGGTGCATCTTTTGCAACCCTCTTCGACTAATGTAACTATGCGTTGACCCAATGTTTATTAACGCGCCTACTCTCTTTACTTATTTCTACACCGCCTATTATTAGCTCCCCCTTCAATTTCTTTTTCATTTCGGCCCAAGTTTCGCGACGAGTGCTCTGCGAAGCATGGATCTCCCCCTCAGACAGCGACTTCGAGAACAACAAGTTTAAAATAGGAAGGAAAACCATTATCTGGGCACTATGGAGAAAACGCTGCATACTTTCTATGGAAGGGGTTCGAGTAGAAGGGGAGGAAGTAATGGACATGATCAGACAATTTATCAATCAAGAACTCCTTACGCGCTGGCAAAAGGTTAAAAGCCAACTGGACAGGCTCCACGCAAAAAAGACATCACACAAGCAATCAACCAATTCTCAAGGGACTGGCTGGGAAGCGAACAGGGGGGTTGGATCGCACACATTTAATGCGAGGGAGGACAAATGCAGGGGCAAACGTTGGGGCAGGAACGGGAACAATTCAGAAGGGACTACAACATATGCTTCAAAGAATGGACCCAAAGTGGACCAACAAGTCCCGCTGCGACCTCCCTCAGACTTCCCCCACCCCTTCCCGCCTCATCAGTTGGCAATGGTGGACATGCAATGGTACGGAGCAGAGCAAGCGGGCCAGCGGATCGACGCGACAGAACAGCGATGGCACAACGAGGGTTGGGTGCATGGGTGCGGGGGCAGAGGAGGGAGGGAAGAATCAGCTTTGAGCCACGGTGGGCAGGGAAGAATCAGCTTTTAGCCACAGTGGCAATAGTAGAATCCTTTTCCTCCTGGTTTCCATATCCTGCTTTCTCAGCTAACCCTTCTGTAAAAAAAAAAAGACGTACTCAAAAGGACGCTGGACCCGGTTTCCAGCAAAAAAAGGACCGGAGCTCGAGGGGGGAGGGAGGAACTAGTATGTAGCAATAGGTATCTGGCGCCGGTTCCAAGGTGAAGAGGTTCCCCCCTTCCCCGCTTCCTGCTCAGTCATCCCCCTGGAGGTAAGGGTAATCAATGCTGACTGGAATCAAATTCAATCTGTATATGGGACGTTGGGCCCGTTTCCCAGCAGGTGACGCTCCTCACCAATAGATGGAGCCTCTCCCCAGGTGCTAGTGGTGTCTGCTCTTATCAGCATAACTAACACTGGTGGGGGCATGTTAAAAAAAAAAAAAAAAAAAAAAAAAAAAAAGATTCGCGACGAGTGATAAACTCATCACTGATGCCTGCGAGGGAGCCACCTACAGAGGTCCTAGTACAAGCAACCTCTGGACAACTAGCTAGTTGGGGGCTACATCAGTCTCTGCCATTGGGACGTTTAGACATGAGGGTGCTTGCTCAGTGTGCGCTTTTATCTGCAGGTCTACGTCTTAAGTCCCTGTAGAGGCAACTGCAACCTCTACTGGTTGTTCCCTTTTGGGTACCTATACTCGGGACAAAAAGGAACTATGTGGTTGGGGTCACCACACTTAAAGCACAGGCCATTCTCAAGCGGTTCTTCCCACAACTTTCGATCCATATTAATGGCCTCCCAGGGCTCGCCTTCAGCAATCCCTGAATATGTTGGGTAAGGCTTCCAACCTCCACCTCTACCTCTAACCCCATTGAAGGGAGAACCTCTACCACCTAGCGAGGGACCATTTCCCCTACCTCCCACGTAGTAGCTACCTTCGCCACTACCCCTCTAGGCAGCGGGTCCTCGACCTCCAAACCTAGCTCGGCCTCCTCTACCTCGGCCTCCTCTACCTCGGCCACCTCTACCTCGGCCTTTTCCTTGTCGCCCTCCCCCATGGGCTGCAATAGCCACATAGTCCCCTCCCCGAGCTAATTGGTTGTTGTTAGTTTCCTCTAATCCATAGTCTATCTGGTCGTAGGGAAGCGACTCAACTCCCCTCTCTTCGAATGTGACTAAAAGACTATCTTTCCCCTCTATATTTCCTTAACTTGTTTCTGCAAGGAACATGAATGTGGACGAAGCACAAACATCCAAATTGCATAATCACACTGAAGTCCATGTAGTCAAAGCAAGAGCAGATAGCACAATGGAACAAGTAACCATCCATTTGAGAACGATACAGCAGAATCGTGAGTCAATGTCCAAGCCCAATCGCGCAACACCAACAGCGTAACCCAATGTAGCACTCTCTCGTGAATGGCGCCAGGCGCCCTATCTACTCTACAGCCTATCCCTACCACTACAACATGAAAGCAACCAGACAACTTGACGACCAGCGAGTGATGATGTCAACACCAATGCCAA